ACGAATAATGGCTCTCTATAAAAGCTAATCCAGACAGCAGGTACCCACTTTGACTATCCTTGGCTAACAGAGCTGACAAACACATTTCACCCAAACCTTCAATGACTTAGAAGTGGTAGTGTGGTAGAACATCTTTTCTTCAAGCCCTGGTATGAAGGGATGGGCAAAAGACATCATATTGCCTCAAAATTACCACAGCATTAAAACATTGTTAAAGGAGCATCTAAAACGATGTGTAATGAACAGGTAATTCATAATTATTTTTTCTACATTTTTATTGAGATCTATTTGCAGAGTGAAATGCATAGACCTCAAATGTACAGTTCAATCTGTTTTGACAAAATGTATGCACCTAAGTTTAACTACCTGAATCATGACCCAGGACGTTTCTAATTTCCACATCTCTCCAAATTATCTCAGGCTCTCCAAGAAACAACTACTTCTCTGATTTTATCACCCCAGATTAGTTCTAGAATGTCATGTAAATGAAATCAGAGAGTAAATACTTATTTGTGCGTGACTTATTTTGCTCAGCTTAATATTTTTGAGATTTAATTTTGATTAATTTTTTTTCTTAAAACTTAGCTAACATAACATATCAGAGGCCAAGTGATTGGGGCGATAATTTGACAAGCAAAACCATTTTCAGAAAGAGGTGAAAGGAAAAAAAAACACCCAGGTTTTCCTAGAAGTGTGTTAAGCCAAGGGACAAACTGGAGATTTTTCTTTAAATGTTGTAAATCATCCTGAAAGGCCCTGGAAATCCTGCGATAATCTCTAATTCACTCACCTATCCCAGGGAGGTGTGATGTAATGGTGAAGTGTACATAACTCATAACTCTAAACCTAATTATGATGAGTGGCCTCGAAGTCTGATTAAAAACCATTAGGTCTAAAAAGCCTCAAAACAAAAATGAATATATAGAAAGGATAAACTGCTCTGCTAGATGGATTATTTTTTGAAACTCTGAAGCAAGATGATAAAAGTAAATTATTTCCAAGAATCACTGCCAAATTGGCAGGTATAAAATGTAAATGCTGAGTTGCTGGTTAGCAGGGCAGCGTGCATGGCCTACATGAAACGGTGGGGACAGATACACAACCTTGTACCCAACAAATAAATAATAAAGAAATGACACGGACAAGACTAATGTTTTTTCTAAGGATATGGCCCAATTGTAGCACAGGACTTGAATAAGGGGTAAAACTCATTGGAACCAAGGTCCCAGGGGGCCTGCGTTCCTCTAGGACCCCAGCTCTCAGCAGGAGGTGGGACTCCCACCCAGAGCATCAGGAGGTCAGAAGTGAGTCTTCACCATGTCCCCCATGTTCAGAAAGCACATCCTGCTTCTGTCAGAGCCTTTTCACATCTGTTACAGCATCTCATCTCCATAAACCTTTGTGAGGTTGCATTACCAGTACTCCCCCCTAAAGTATACATTAGCACTCCAGAGTATCTGAAGTTATGTGACTAACATCACTTCATCAGATTCTCAATATAACTCTATAAAGCAGGTAGGGACTTTGCCCCTCTTCATAAATTAAGTCTTTTGCCCACATAATAAGGCTAGTCAGTGGCATACTTGGGACTATAGAATGTCTTTGACTTTAATCCAGTGACCACATCAGTATAATATCATCATGCTCTCGACAGGTATATAAACCCAAATGACAGATGAGAAGGGTGAGGCAAAGTGGCAAAGCAAAAATAATCCTTCAACACTAGTTTACAGCAGAGGTGAAAACACCTTTTAAGATAACATATGGGGGGGGCGCCTGGGTGGCGCAGTCGGTTAAGCGTCCAACTTCAGCCAGGTCACGATCTCGCGGTCCGTGAGTTCGAGCCCCGCGTCGGGCTCTGGGCTGATGGCTCGGAGCCTGGAGCCTGTTTCCGATTCTGTGTCTCCCTCTCTCTCTGCCCCTCCCCCGTTCATGCTCTGTCTCTCTCTGTCCCAAAAATAAATAAACGTTGAAAAAAAAGATAACATATGGGAAAAAATAGACTTTTCAGCACCAACTTTTAGACCTCGAGGCATCCTTCTCTTTCCTGGCTAGGGCACACCTTCTAAGTGTCTTTGCCCTGCTAGACCAAAATGGAAGTCAGAGCTCCCACCTGAGAGTCACCTGGCCTTCCCAATATACTACCCCACCACCTACTCATTGGAGTTCCAGTGACTAGCATTAAATAAGCAAATTCTCTATCTAAAGCTCATTCTAAGCGGTTTGCCAATGTTAGTCTTTTAATTCTCACAACAATCTTAGAGCAAAGTACTAATATCATTCTCATTTTACAGGTGACAAAATGGAAGCACAGAGAGGTAAATACTTTGAACGAGGCCACATAGTAAGAAGCACAGCTGAGATCTGAACCACAGCAGTCTGGCTCCAAAAGCCACACTCTTCACCAAAGAACTGTAAGGAAAATACCAGTCCATGCAACACTGGATCATTCCCAACTTCTCCACTCCAAAGGGTATGGGTGACAAGAATGCTGCTAAAATATAGATACAGTATATATTTTTTATTTCTGAGAGTGGGCTTATATTTATATGTGCAAACAGATTAAATAAATCATGATTACAACAGTAAACATGTAAATTCTGATCAATAACTACTTGCCTTCCCCTCCCCCCAACGCTAACAGCTGCAATAAAGCTTTAACTGTAAAGCGATGCACAACCAGCCATAAAAGTATGTAAAATAAATGAGGATAACATAATGAGGGAATCCAACATTCATCTCATAAATATAACATAACGACCACAACTAAAATGTCAGAGAATCTAATAAATCAATATGGTAGGACAGAGCTATCTTTATGTTCAGAATACATAAAAAATATATTTACATGCAGGGTGTTTTCCTTTTTTTTTTTTTATAAGCCAGGACCAAACAAAAAGAATTATAAGAAATTTAACTCTTCGTTTACCTAGATGTTCTGGTTTGACAATATTTTCAACACGCCATTGGGTTGTCCCACATGGGTGCATGGTAAGAAATGGGCCCTACTGTAAATTTGGACAGAAGGTCTTAGATACCACACTCATGTGCAAATGGCACTGGAAGGGAAGCAGGGAGGAAAACATCCTGAGGGTACTTTGAAAGGATCAATTACAGGCCCTGGTTTATAATACTTCTGATCATGGTGATTTCTGGAACTTCCAGCTCATTTTATTAGCGCCAACAAACCCTGGGAGGTTTAGTTATTTCCCTGTTAATGCACTAGCGATTGATGTGGATAAATCCCATAAATACTAATGAGGGTGACACAAGTAAATCTCCTCTGAATTAATGAGAAGAGAGTCTCCTGTACTGACCAACATGCCGCCTAATGACTTGAAATGATGGATTTATAAATTCTTCCAGGTTCCCCCGTGGACTCAAGCTGCAGAAATAAATATCCTTACCTAGCCACCTCCTCCCATGGGCCCTGATCTAGGAAACCTGATGGGAAGGGAAAAGGCCTCACTGGGAAAGGGACAATTCCTTCTTCCACCATCTTTTCTGTATAGAACTGGACAGACCCCAAATGCAACATCTCACCTCAAGGGAGGAGGAAATCAAGGAGGTAAATAAGAGTTAAGTGTCTTCTGATAAAATAGGCTGAACCAAAGTCTAAAAACGCCAACTCCTCAGATAAGAAAAACCAGTTAACGCTCATCCATTAAACCAAGTTTAGTGTAGGTGCACGTGTTTCAACACTGCGTTTCACTTATCTATTGCTATACAACAAACATACTAGATTTAAGCAAGTTAATTTGCCTGTAACTCTATGGGTTAATAAGGGCTCCCCCAGGGTAGTTCTACTGATCTCACTTTAAGTCCTTCATGCGTTCACTGTCAGATGGTGGCAGCAGACGGAATGTCCAAGATGACTTCATTCGCATGTCAGGAATGTGGGCCAATGACTGGGGGCTATGACATCTCTCTCTCTCTCTCTCTCTCTCTCTCTCTCTCTCTACATGTCTAGCTTGAGCTTCTTTACCTGGCAGGTGGATTCTGTGAGCAAGCATTCCAAGGAGACCAGCCCAACCACTTCATAAGTTTCTGCTTACATTGGCCAAGTTCAGAGCCAGTGTTGATGGGAACTACACAGAGGTGTGAATACTGGGAGGTGTAGTTTATTTGGGGTCACCAAAGTAATAGTTCAACACAACTAGCATTATTTCCCCCCAGAGGGGAAAAATACTGGTGCCATTATAATGACAAGCCCTATTATTGTTTTTTTAAATCATTTTCTAGTCTTCCACTTTAATATTCAATGACCTAGTATTCCAATTATTGCTTAAGTCCTGGCGGTTTGGATTCCATATGAAAGCTGGGCAAAGCATGGCAAGAGAGAGAGAGGCACTCCACAATTTATAGACAAATAAAGATCAAACTCCCATTTTTTAAAACTAAAACTTCACATGGCCACTGGTAACACGAGGGAACATGCCACAAGCCCCACTCTGGTCCTTGATTCCTTAGCACAAGAACTCCATATAGCACTCATTCTGCCTGTTATTCACACTTAAAAGACTGTCTGAACCCTCTTAAAAGACCAACACTATACCTTTTTTCACTCAAGTGGGTAAAGACTTAAGGGCCCCCATAAATCTTGCTCCAACAATTCTCCCCCGAGGATATCCTATTAATATGACCCTCTTTCACTGCAATAACCCCATGGGCTTGGTTAATATTTGCCAATTCCAGTCCACCTGTTGGGATTCATCAGCAATAAATAATTTGTGTGGCATTTTCAATTTTATCAAAGCACATCCCATGTGATGCTCGGAACAGCTCTCTGAGGTAGGTGAGACAAAGATTTATTATCTTCATTGGACCAAAATGAAAACAAAGCCTGTACCCATTAGTATGTAGTGCTAGTTTTTGTAGTGTTGTGTAGTTAGCAAATGTTCCCTTGTACATTATTTGTATCAAGATTCCATAAAATCATCCTGAGAGGTAGACAATAATATCCTTACTAACTGAGGAGATAGAGAAGTTAAACACTTTACCTTAAATCCCCACAGTGAGTAAGTGTCAGGGCACAAGTCATCCACTCAGTCCAACTTCTTCCCCAGCCTGTAAGAGGAAGGGTGAGTGATCTATGGCCAAAGAGCATGTGGGAAAATTAAAATTAGAACTTGTATGACCTGATGGGCATCCCTCTGCCAAAACTCACACTGATTCTTATACCTCAGTTAAAATCTGTGAGAACTCTCCCAATATTAGTGATAAGATGGGCCACACAACAGTGAGGTTTTTTTAATGTTTATTTACATATTTATTTTGAGACAGAGAAAGCATGCACACATAAACAGGGGAGGAACAGAGAGAAAGAGAGAGAGAATCCTAAGCAGGCCCCATGCTAACAGCACAGCACTCCAATTCACAAACTGTGAGATCATGATATAAGCCAAAATCAAGAATCAGACACTTAACTTACTGAGCCACGCAAGTACCCCACAGTGACCTTTGAAAGAATATTTAAGAATACCATAACGATCTAGCTTTCCAAGAACACGGGAACCTAACATAGTCTGCAGGCTTTAGAGAACACATTATGGTTGACAACGAGGTTTCACAAGGTGACCTCTCAGGCTTGCAAGGTTATTCAAACACTGCTTAGGTTACATACTATTTGTTTTAACATTTCCAATAGCAAAGCAAATAGACAAATAGATCAGTGAATAGAATAGACAGTCTAATTAGAAATTTTGTATGTGATAAAAAATAGTGGTTTAAAATGGTTAGCAAATGGCCTAAAAAACAAATGGATTGGCGATATATATCCGTAATTTTTTATCTCAACATGAAAGCATTCACACACAAAGAAGTCCAGTGGATCAAGACCTAAAAAGCAAAATTAAAACAGAGTTTTAGAAGAAACATAGGAGAAAATGTTTATGGCCTAAGCATGAGACTCCTGGTCAGACCCAAGACACATATAGCATATAAAGAAAAGAGTTGTTAATTTGACGTCGTAATTAAAAACGTGTATGTAATTTAAAAAAGCACCGTAAATTTGAAAGACAATAGAATGGAAGAAAATATTTGCAATATATGAGAGACTGAGGCCAAGAATGCCTGAATATATAAAGACTTACTAGAAATCATTAAGTAAAAGTCACACAAGGCAATAGAAAAAAATGGGCAAATGATATACACAGGCAATTCAAAATAGAAAAAAACAGATAATAAATACATGAAATGATTCTTGAACTTGGCAGGAAAGTGAAACATTTTAAATGGCAGGAGAATATGCCAATAGATTGCAATAATTTTCAAAGTGTGCTAATACCAAATGCTGGCAGGAGAATGGATCAAATGATATTCTTTCCACACATCACTGGTAAGAACGAATATTGATAAAATCATTGTGGAGAACAATTTTACAGCATGCATTACAATTTAAAATATGCATACACCATGAATTAAGCAAGTTCACATCTTAAAATATACCCAAGAGAAACACTTGCACATGGACACAAAGCCCATAACAAAGACATTTACTGATGTGTCAAGGAGGAATTACTAACAACCAACATGTCTATCAAAAAACTAATGGCCAAATAAACTGGGCATATCCATACTATGGAATATGGCACTCAAATTGAAAAGCCCAAGTATTGTATGTCTATAGGTACTGACATGGAAAGTTATCAGAGACATACCACTGAGTGAAAACAGCAAGCAGCTGAACTTACACAGTACCATAAATTCTTTAGTATTTGTATATATAAATCTATGTGTATGAGTGTTTAAGTTCATAGAAAGAAGATAAGCAAACATAGCCAACTTCTAATATGGTTGGCTCTAAAAAAGAGCGGAGGTGAGGGTGAGAGGCAGCTAAAGTGGACACAGCCTGAGCAGTCAGGAGTATGGAGAGTAGTGTACTTGTGTAATTAAAATTTCATTTTCAATAAATAAAAAGAAATGGCAGAACAACCTTCCCCCAGAAAATTCTCCAAAGTGCTCACAGTCTCTTCTGAAATTTATAAAAAAGAAAGGAAAAGAAGGGAGAAGGGAGAGGAGAGGGGGAGGGGAAGGAGGAAGGGGAAAGAGGAGAGGAGAGGAAAAGAAAAAAGAAGAAAGAAAAGAAAAGAAAAGAAAAGAGAAAAGAAAAGAAAAGAAAAGAAAAGAAAAGAAAAGAAAAGAAAAGAAAAGAAAAGAAAAGGGAGGTTACAATGGGGGGAAGTGAGAAGCAAAACACTATTCTAGTTTGGGTAGAGAGGCTTATGCGTTGTCAGCACTGTGGCATTAGAAGGAAGGTTTCCACAGGTATCAAAAGAATATATGGACCGGCATTGGTATGTTTCATCTTCTCTTACGAAGAGCTCCTGAAAGGCATGAGCTTTTTTCACCTGGCCCAGTGTGAGCCACACACTGCCATTTACTGAAGTAAGGCAAGGTCCACATTTGATGCCTGCCTCTGTGGAGTGGACAGAGGGGCTAGGGTACTGTTAGTGGGTAGTCACAGGGGCCTCAGACTGCGTGTCCCTCACCACCCCCGCTCCAAAAGAAAGGAGTCGCACAGAGCCAGTCACAGCAGACAGCCAGGCCTGGCCACGGGCACTCAATAACCTTCTTCTACAGATTTTGAGCCATAGAGACTGGGAATCCTGAGAAAAATAAACCTCTTTTTGCTCTAATTAAAAACGTGAAAGGGAATAATAATCTCCATAAAGCCACACAGATTGCTTTTAAAAAATGCCAATTCCTCTTGGGCCAGCTAAACAGAGTTGTGTGTGCCCTCCTGCAACTTCACAGAGAAAGAACAAGGTATGAGTGAGTATTGCTTTAAAGACTTGTGAATCTTACAATGTGGAATGGTATCGCTTTGTATGGTCATTTTACCCCTGGGCTAGTGTTCAGGTTGTGTGGTTACCTTAGCTCCATATAAACAAGAAAAATATGATTTCTCACATGTGCCCAGCACTCTGCAGCACTCCTTTACATTTATGACCCAATTTAATTCTTCCTCCAATCTTTTTATTCCCATTTCACAGATCAAGAGACAGAGGCTTCAAGAACAAAGCATTATTTTCACCACCATATTAACATTTGAAAGGCAAAGCCATTTATTGCATCTCCTGTCAGCATCCTGCTCCTTTTGCTAGATGCTAAATCAATCCTTTGTTTGACTGAAGAGCAAATTCAGCTTCTCTCTCATATGTGACTATCTTTTTGCCTCTCTTTTTATGGGGCATTCCAAGAGCCTTTGGGGAAAAGATCTTTCCTCGCATTTTTTTCCACACTAAAGTGGCAGGGGGAATATTTTCTTTCTCTTTGTTACACCGGGCTGATGCTGACTTAACTGTTTGCATCAATGTCAAAGACGGGTTCAGAAACATGGCAAAGCCTCTGCCCCTTCACCAGGTTTCTTGGCTTGTAACTGTTTAGCCTCTACCTATCTACCCAGAAATTAGCTAGGTTCATTACATATTTTATTTCATCTTCAGCACAAATCTGTGAGGGATGCACAATGACCCTCATTTTATAGATATAGAAACATAGGCTCAGTGAAGTTAACTTGCCCAAGGTCATATGCTAGGGAATAACTTCAAAGTCTGCATATTTCCAAAGCCTTGGCTATATCTCAATATGTCACTGTCTCTGTGGCACTGGGGCAACAAACATAAACATTCCTCTCAAGTATTACATAGAGGGTGATCATCTAAATCTGGATAGTTCTGAGAGTGAAAGGCGGGGGTAAAAAGTGCAATTAATAATTATACCAGGAAAAACAGGCATAAATTGAGACTATCCAAGGGAAATCAGGACATCAGGACATATGGTCACCCTGATTATGCACCACACAAGGGAACATCACCCAAGAAAAAAACGAATGTTCTAAAACCCATAAACCGTGAGTGATAAATGTTTCATTCCAGGAGGACACAGTTGTGCAGATGGTCAGGACCTAGCTTAACCTCTACAAACCTCAGAAACAGAAGGAAATCTAACAAATACTAGAGCACCTAACTCAGAGGGGCTCCTCTCCCACCCTTACTGCATTTCCAACAAGCAACAAATCTTTATTGCTTGCCTGCATCATATAACAATAATACTAAAAGTGAAGCCAGGCAAAAACAGGACCAACGAAAACATACATGACATCCACTGTAGGGGAGGAGTCACCACAGAGGTCTTGCTTTGTCCTGGAGCACATAACACTGGCCAGGGCTTCATAGATTTTCAGAAGCAGTTCAGGAAAACCAAAAGCTGTTTTCTTCCCTGACCCCTCTCTTCCATAGCAAGCAGAATCATACAATTACGGGTAGGAAGATGCTACAACCTAACGAGGTCACTTGCTGGGATTAGGCAATGCTGGAGGTGTCCAGGGGATTAGTACATCTTCTCATCCCTACAGTATGGAATAGTCCATAGAATCCCTGTGAAATTACAGACTTGGTTGCTTTCAAGGACACAACCCAGAAAATCTATATATTCAGTATTCAATATCCTAGGGAATAATTGCTCCTTCCTGTTTTATAACATAATGTTCAACTCTGTATTGTTTAGTTCTCAAACTGGGTTATTTAGATTCATAAATCATCTAGCAGCAACTAACCCCAACATCAGAACCCACTCACACATGAAAATTTACAGCATTACACTTATTTTTTTAATGTTTATTTATCTTTGAGAGAGAGAGAGACAGAGCACAAGCAGGGGAGGGGCAGAGAGAGGGAGACACAGAATGCAAAGCAGGCTCCAGGCTCTGAGCTGTCAGCACAGATCCCAATGCAGGGCTCAAACCCATAAACTGCGAGATCATGACCTGAGCCCAAGTCAGGTGCTCAACCGACTGAGCTAACCAGGCACCTTGCACAGCACTCATTTTAATACTAGGGTTTTTTTTTTAGCTATATGGGCACGTGTATGCACACACACATGCACGTGTGCACACTCACACGCACACTTTGTGTGGATGGTTCGGAACAGGGAAGGACACCCAAATTATCACCATACAAAGAAGAGGATGTGCTTCCTACAATCCAGGAGATAATTTTCATCTTCCTAGGCTAGTCTTTACATTTATTATACAGGCTACCAGGGGAATCTGGCTGGGCTGCAGC